CTGTGGCCAGGACTCCAGTGGATTTAAGTCTCCACTTATCCAAGAACACCGGTGATGGTGTATCACAGTTAGAATATTCTCGGATAATTGGGAGTTTAATGTATTTAATGACTTGTACGAGACCGGATATAGCATATTCAGTTAGCAGATTGAGTTGCTACATGAGTAACCCAGGTGCTGTCCACTAGAAAGCCATTTTTAGGGTGCTACATTATTTAAGGCACACTCGTGATTTTGGACTGCACTATTCTAGATACCCTGCAGTAATCGAAGGGTATGCTGATGCAAATTGGATATCAGATATGTCAAATACCAAGTCTACTAGTGGATACATCTTCACTCTTGGTGGTGCAGCCGTCTCTTGGAAATCGTCCAAACAACCTTGTATCGCAAGATCTACAATGGAATCAGAGTTCATCGTTTTGGACAAAGCAACTGAAGAAGTAGAGTGGCTTCGCCGGTTTGTTAAGGATATTCCAAGATGGTTAAAGCATGTGCCTGTAATTTATGTTTATTGCGATAATCAATCAATAATTGGCAGGGTACAGAGCAATATGTATAATGGTAAGTATCGCCATATTCGAAGACGACATAATACCATTCGACAACTACTCTCACAAGGTATTATCACTCTGGACTATGTGAAGTCAAATGATAATATTGCTGATCCGCTAACCAAAGGGCTAACTCGAGAGCTAGTTGTAAAAGTATTGAGGGAAATGGGCTTGCAGCCTATGACGTTGAAAGGTATCATGGTGGAAACCCAACCTAGCTGAATGGAGATCCCAAGATCAAGGTTCAAATGGACAACTAAAACATGTATATATGTGTAAATCATTGAGAATGTTCTCCTTCTGCTCATTCCTATGGTGCTCACAGTGATTAGAAGATGCAGGTTAAGCTAAACTTTTAATGACCATTAAGCGTTGTTGTGAAAAATTGAGTTAAGAGGTCACTTATGTGAGTGTGAAGTGAGGCCGCTTCTATAAGGATTGACAATGTTACGTCCTTGAAAAAACACTCGCAGAACCAGGCGACGTGTTCATGGCCAAAACGAACACAACAGTAAGAACTATGCTGTGACTAGAATGGTCCTGTGTGAGATCTATTGTCTTGGTTTACACAAATGGTGAAACAGTTCAAGGCATCAGATCCACTGGTTTGCTAGTAATTCATGATAGGTTTCACAAGGGAAGGTTCAAAGTTAAATGCTACCTATCCTATGCAGGATTGATTCGTTTTACTCTTTCTTTCCTCTTGAGTCTTAGTTTCCATTTTCATTCATGTGGGGGATTGTTAGAAATGAATGAAAAATATTGAATAGAAGTAATGAAAAATATTGAATATAAGTCTCTTCATATGTTGTAACTCAAGCCCCTTCATGTTTTTAACTCCTTTATCAATGAATGGTTTAACTCCTTAATTAATGAGCTAACTTTTCTTCCATTGGTATAAATAGGAGTCTCTCTAGGTTGGAAAATCACAAGTGAAATGCAAGCTTTTTCCTCTAAGCAACAATCTTCTTTTTCTCACTTTCAAGTTCTTCCTTGTGATTATAATTTCTTTGTGAGATAGAGTATATCACAGATAATTTGTAGGCGGTTAACGTAGTGCAGCGTAAACCGACCACTGATTGTATCCTGGGAATCGAACACCGATCAAAACCTCTTGCACTCCGGTGAGGCGGCGAATTCGATTTATGGAAACTGTGAATAGACAGGCTTTCGATTTGATTTGATTCTCTAATATTTACCTACATTATCTTCATGTCCAAGGCAATGAGGCCACATACCATTGCATGTTCGACGCATACTTCCTAGCAACACGACTTACAGAAGACTTGTCACCTCTCTGCTGAGGCTATAGAAGAAGACCCCAGTCGTTAGCAACAGCAAATATACCTCTTGATTTGATGTCAATTTTTTGATGCCTTGTTCAAGTTGTATATGACACATTGAGTCACATGTGACTTATTGATGTAATATCTCTATAAGTCGCTTGATGACCACCCTTCTTATCCGCCTATGCAATGTGCATGAGGTCGTAAGCTTATGATGGTCACAATGTGACATCATTGTAATTGTCTTATGAGCCATTAGGTTGATGTTGTGTATCAGACATTCTGAGAACTCCATTTTAACACTTTTGAGATAATTATGTGCATTTAATTTGCTATTTTCAAGTTGTTTTCAGTTTTGCGAAATTCTAAAAACGTGTTTGATCTATTGTTAAAAATGCATTTTTAAAAATAAGGATAAATTTATAACATAAAACTCAAAACACATTTTTGACGTCTGGAGTGTTTTCAGTGAAAATTCATAAACATTCCTTAAAAATAAAATTTTTGAAAAAGTAAGATCTAAAATACTAAAAAAATAAAATTTTGAAAAAAGTAAAATTATAAAATTTATGAAATATAAAATTTATAAAAAAAAAATAATAATAAACTAGTTCTAACTAATGATTATTTATATGAAAATTTTAAAAAATATATTTAAATGAAAAATAGACAAAAATATTTTAAATCCATGTCATTAAATTTTAAATTTTATCTCCTATATTTTAGAATTAATTTAGTATTTTTTTATATAAGTTTTTAGCTAGAAAAAATATTATAAGATTCACCAACTTTAAAATTTATATGATACTTTATAATATGTTGACATAAAATTATTCTATTTTTACCGGATAATCAAATTTAATGAAATAAAATGTTATAAAATAATTTTTCAAAATTCCAAACAAAACATGTTTTCTAATTTTTAGTTTTGAGGAATAATTTTTCAAAATGACAATTCAAACACATTTTTAGAAATCTTAAAATAGAAAATAAAAAATAAACTCAAAAACTCTAAACTGAATATCGAAACACATATCAAACCGACCCTTAGCATTTGGTAATTTTCACTCTATTATTCTCTTTTCGTGTTCCTTCGACATGTATTTCTAGGTTCGATATTTGATTTGAGAGTCAGAGTACGTATAGTCACAACGTTCCCTATTTTCCTTGAAAAATCTTCAATGTGCGCGAACATTCACTCATTCTAAAAATCAACGTTCTTCAAATCAAAATGTCAAACGAAAAGGAAGAAAGATCTCTATTTTTAATTCTCATGTAGCTAGAACATTCGAAACCACAAGAATTCTCTAACGTGTATGTCCACGTGTGCAGGTATCTTACACGTAAAGTAAAGAGGAGTCCAAGTTTGTTAGCGCCGAAATCCCATTGTGATTTAGATGTCTACCTACAATATTATAGTAAATTTCTTACTACCAAGTGAAAGCAAATTTTGCCTTCAAGTTGCTTATAGTTGACTAATTATTTTGCAATTTAAATTAAATGGAAGTACATCGATTGTATAATTGAATGTGCAAAAATTACCTTTACCTTTTAAACAAATTAGATTACGGCTAAGTAGTGTTCAATCTCATCACCAAGAATCGCGGCCCTAGTATTCCGCTAATCACATAAGTAAACAAATGTTATAATCCATGAAGATCTCACTAGCAATCGAATCTTTTGTGCCATTTTCTTAATGCGACATCACCGATAAGACAAGAATAATAAAAGAAAATAATTAGAAAATGTAATACTTTCTGCCACGTAGGAGAATTAGCGAGCTATAAATCAAGTAATTAACCAAATAAGATCTTTTGATTCCAGAAATAATAATCACAAAAATATTTATTTATCAAATTCTATCAAATATTATCTATATTTATTTAGAGCCCGTTTGGTACCTATTTTTCTCAACATACATTTTTCTTTCTCTTCTATTCAGCCACACAATCTTTATTAAAATAATATTACATGTAAATAAAAATATTTTCCTTATTTTTCAATCATACATTTCCTATCAATTTACCATTTTAAAATGCACGTTTACATAAAAATGGGGCTTAAACACTCTCTTAATTCTCTTATTCTTCTACAACTCTATTTAAAACAAAGATTATTTCATAATAAATAATATTATCTAGCCATCAGTTGTATTGAACACAAGTCTATATATTTGCATATCAGTATTTAATTGAATCTATAATTTAATGATACGTGTACTGCTACATAAATCGAAATTAAACACCTGTTGTGCTTGAATAACATTATTCTTTCCTAAATTCTCATCTAAAAGGAATAGAAAATGGAGCTACGCTACATGTACAGGAAATATTTGATAGAATTTTTACAGATCAAAACTCAACACTATATTTTTCATTAGTTTTGAACCCAAAAATAACAGGAAATGCACCACACAGGGTTTTGTTTTGTGAATTTTCTAGAAAAAAATGTGCTAACAATGGTAAAAGAAGGGGGCGGGGGGGGGGGGGGGGGGGGAGAAAAAAAAAATTTCTAAAATTGTAGGCTAGTAAAGGAGGAATTTAGCAACATGAAATCCACCCTTGCCGCCTCCTAGTTTGAATTCTAGCAAATGAGAAAATTGAAGATATTAATCCTGAAACCAAAAGGAAAAAAGTAAAGGCAAATATGAGAAGAAAAGAATAATAGGGGGCAAAAAAGTGAAAACGACATTAATTGATTGCATGTAACCCACTTTGAATAAGAAAATTTCCAACTCTGAAAGCTGACACCATCAGTGGACTTTTAAACTGGTTGGTCAAGTGAAGGCAACAACATTTGGATCTTGGAATTTCAATTTCTTGATTATACAGCATAAAATTTTCGTGCTTGTTTGGTAGATATTTTGATAATTAATTTTTTGATCGTTAGAAATAAAGTAAGTTTTATCTGTGAGAGAAAAAATCAAAAATAACGGTTGAATTAATGAAATAACGGTAAAAAAATTAATTATAATTGACTTTGAAGTTATACCAAACAAGCTCTCAATCTTTTTTGGTGTTTACGTGTAATCAGAGCAAAGAATCGATCAGAACTGTTAATAAGAGCCAAAATTTCATAGAGTCGATTTTAAAATATTTGGTGTGGTGTCTTAAAAGAATAGAATCAGAGGAGAAAAGGAAATGGTTATTAATTGGTGGTTTGTAGCAGCAGTTGTTGGTCCCAACATCCTTAAAAGTTTTCAGTTAGTTGTGTGAATAGTGACTGTAAAAAAAGATGCCAAAGTGACCAAACCCCTCTGGCCTCCTCCTCTATTTATATCGTTGCCTCTGATTCTCATTTCCCTCATTCAGCATCACATTCTTTCTCTAGCCAGTTTTTTTCAAGGCCAAACTCAATGTAATTTCCTTGACATTTTGAACTCATTTCCTTTTATTCTCTTGTGATTTTTGAACATACACTAAAAGCAGTTCAGCTTCAGGTACTGTTTCTTGATTGTACTATGAAAATGCTAAAAAAAATCCCTTTTTTGCAGGAAAATGGCTGTTTTTGAAATTTTCTTGGTGGGTTTACTTTCAATGCTTTCATCTGTTCATGGCCGTGGTGGAGGATGGAGTAATGCTCATGCCACCTTCTATGGTGGAAATGATGCCTCTGGCACAATGGGTATGTCCTTTATCCTCTTAGGGGAATATTGGGCATATCATATATGTCTCCCTTGTGGTGATTAAGCTTAAGCTTTTCTTGGCAAAATTTTTGCAGGTGGGGCTTGTGGCTACGGAAATTTGTACAGCCAAGGGTATGGTACAAACACTGCAGCTTTGAGTACAGCTCTGTTCAACAGTGGGTTGAGCTGTGGGTCTTGTTTTGAGATTAGATGTGTTAATGAGAGGCAATGGTGCTTGCCTGGTTCAATTATGGTCACAGCCACCAATTTCTGTCCACCAAATAATGCACTTCCGAACAATGCAGGAGGGTGGTGCAACCCTCCTCAGCACCACTTTGACCTCTCCCAGCCTGTTTTTCAACACATTGCACAGTACAGAGCTGGAATTGTCCCTGTTGCTTACAGAAGGTATTTTAGCATTAAATGAATATTTACTGCTAGGTTTATAAATTTTCTTGTGGTCCTAGGTTATGAATATTTACTGCTAGTACTATTCCTATTGGCACTTCGGTTTGATGGTGACTGTTTTGGTGCTAAATTGGTAACTGTTGTGACTTTAATTTTGTAGGGTACCCTGCAAAAGAAGGGGAGGTATAAGGTTCACACTTAATGGCCACTCCTACTTCAACCTAGTACTCATAACCAATGTTGGTGGCGCCGGTGATGTTCATGCAGTGTCGATAAAGGGGTCGAGGACCGGTTGGCAGCCTATGTCGAGAAATTGGGGCCAAAATTGGCAGAGCAACAACTATCTTAACGGCCAAAGCCTCTCGTTTAAGGTCACCACCAGCGATGGCCGCACCGTGGTTTCTTACAATGTTGCTCCTCCAAGCTGGTCTTTTGGACAGACCTTCGCCGGTAGCCAATTACGGTGAATTTCGTTAGGTGGATTTTGAAATTTTCTGTATTGGGCAGTATTAAAGTGTCCAATACTATGTAATGCTACATATCTAATGAGTCGAGTCGAATTGAGTCTAAGTCGAGTTGGTAGTATTGTGTATTGTTGGGGCCAATTTTGGGGCTGTTTTGTCACTTTTGTTGCAAGGCAGAAATTGGCAGAGGTGGACTAATTATCACCCGCCTATTAATTAAGGATTAGTAAGTGGTTTTTATCCTAATTAGGATCTGTTTTTCCTGTCTTTTTGGTGAATCCTGGAGTCTATGGTTACCAGTAAACATGTATATTCAATTAGCCAAGTAATCGAAGGTGTTTCCCATTATTAATTTTTGATAAATGCTTATTGTTTTTCTGAAATAACAAAATTTTAAAGTATTGGTTTTTTTTTGGTGAATGAGGCGGGAAAGAAGAGCCCAAGCTGTAACTCTGACAGTCAAACCTCTCAGTTGCTTTTTCTCTTGATCATCGAGCCCCGTGACCTTCAAGTACACCATTTATATTTTAAAATTGGAGAAAGATTACTGTACTCTCAATTTCTTACCGAATGTTTACATCCTCTCACAATGTATGATGGATATTGCATGAGCCCTTAAGGCACATCTCCAAGTGGTAAAAGGGGAAGGTGGAGAAATCTAGCTTTGCTTGAGGCTGTTGCGTCAAGGGTTCGAATTCTGAAATATGAATTTAACTCTTGGGTAAGTGCAAGTGTACAAGCAGTCTTCCACCCTGTATCTTTGGAGGCATAACCTGCGATTTACCTCCCTTACGATGCTTCAGGACAAGGGTGGTGAGGGACCCTTAAGGTTAGAGTTTAACCTTTGGATATTGCATAAATTTAAAAATATCGACACGTGATTTCCACTTCTATTGTGAGTAGTAAGTAAAAAATTCAATAAAAAAATATGGTACATGTAGCATTGTTCTTCAAAATTACACTCCAATTCAATATTTTTTTTCTTCCTTGCTTTAATTGATTAGCCCTTGTTTGAGTTCATTCTTTTGATAAGAATGAATTTTCAACTAGTGTATTGATAAAAAATATGGTTAAAAAATAAGGAAAAATTTTGAATTTGCCTGTAATATTATTTTATTGAAAAATGTGTGGTTTAAATGATGTAAAAAATACTGTTTAAGAATGTGTTTTTTTGAAGAAATGGGAATCAAACAAGGGATAGTTAAATTAAAGAATGATTCTGAATTCAATTTGTTAATTCGTCAGTTAGTTTGTAAATTATAAGCAAATTTCTTTAATTTAATTTAATTTATTTATTTATTTATTTTGTAATTTTGTCCGTGGTCGTACAATGTTTGTTGCTATTCTTTATTTTGCGGTTTGAAGGGAAGCAAGTGTTCATGAGCTGTTTAAATTATAAATAGATATAAATGAATTTTAAATAATATTTGTGATCCTTTAAAACATGTAAATAGAAAATGGCTTAAAAAAATTTATAAATATAAGTCAGATATAAGATGAACGTTCCAAAGTAGGCGATCGAAAATTTCTAACAAGTTGAGATTTACCCCAACAGTATTTGGTACCAGTCTAGTGATGGTGAGAGTCCATTTTTTAATTGCTTAATAAATAAAGATGCATCTAAATTTTAATGGTCAATTAAAGTAATTACTGTCATTTAGACTATTAATAAACATAATTGATGCTAGAATTAGCTGGCAATAACTGTCATTTAGACCATTGATAAACATCATTGATGCTAGAAATCAAAAATTGGAATAAATTTTTAAATAAGTTTTTCCGTATGTACAGAATTTATTTTACAGAAAGTATATAGAAATCTCACATGAATGTGAGTTTTATATGAACAAAAAAAGTGCCAAAAAAATCAACCTCACCACACCCACCCTTGCTGTGAGTGGTCTGAATCAGAATCTGTACGTTCAGCATTTCTCTTGTTATATTAATAAACAATGAAAAATTTAATTTCAATGTAAGTGCGGGAGTGGGAGGACGTTGCAAATGTTCGGCATGGGTCATACATGATTTCTTCTATTATAAGGTTAGAAGATCATTGAAAGACACTTATGACTAAGGCAAATTGTGAAAAAAGCACACTACACAAGCTTCGAATAGCTATTCCAAATTCAAGTTATTTTTTCATTTCGCTTCTTCGGAGAAAGATGATTAAACAATTCTCAATC